TACTGGTGATTATTAAAACCCTACGTCACAAAAAATGGTACAGATGTAGAATTTTGAACCTTTCGCTCTGCGTCACAGCAGCCGGGGGCTTGGCGGCCTGGACTGGTTTCTTCTTGGCTTTGCCTTTTCTGCCTCCGGGCCCATCTACGTCGTCCAGGAAACCTCCGAGGCCCTCCCCGGGTACAAACTCGTCCACGCTGGTGATGGGCGCTGTCTTGACCTCAGCCACGGTCTCTACAACTGATCGGGGTCATCAAAGGATGGAACGGGGAGAAACGAGTGAGACAAGGTGGTTAAATTGGGGCTCAAATGAAAAAAAAAAAAAGGTTCTTCAATAGAGAAACTCTTTCTGGTGCGTTTGCTTATCGGAACAGGGATGGGCCCGACAGCCTTTTGTTTGTCTAAGTAGAAAAAAATGAAGTCCTTCGTGAGGTATATGTGGCCTATCAGGCTGGCAGTTATCTCTGTTTTCCGCAGCATGAAAGAAATGAGAATATTGCCATCCCCCCTAGATGGAATGCCAGTCCATCGCAGTTGGTCCCCATCTAATGCTGGTACCCACTCCTACTCCTGAAGTGGAGAAAGCCAAGCAGGGGAAAAGTGACTTGCCCCAGGTTACAACTTATGGCCGGCAGCTGGATTCGAACCCCCCGACTCTCCGGTCAAGACTAACGAACCCTTGCCAATAGAGCAGCCGCATGTTCCAGGAAAATGGCAGGCTGATCATCTGCGGAGTATTGTTTTATGCAGGAATTTAATTTGTTTGAGATCTGTGACCTAACCAAACCCATTTTTGAGTGGAAGGCCTTCACAAGAATCTTGCCCAATATCGATTTCCAGGTACCCTTGACATTTTTTGCACCCACATAATGACCTTTTCCATCAGGAGCCCAAGTGATTCATCAAAAGCAGGAGCTCGTTTTGATCCAAATCAAACTAAATGAGATGTACTGCAAAATGGCCTGAAGACTCATTTTGTGGGATCCGGTCGTGGGTCGACGAGGTTTTGCTGGTTGGTAAAGTCGCACCTGCTTGTTTTTCGTCTTCTTCCTTCACTCCTTGCTGCACCCTCGACTCGCTGCCCCCGAACCACTTGGAGAAGCGCTGCGTGAGAGTTGTCGTCGAGCCCTGCTTGTCCTGGGGCGCCGCGGGTCCCTTCGCCGGCTCGGGAGTTGTTTTGACTTCGCTGGCCGACCTCTCCTTGCGGGCGGTGGTGGGGGTGGACGTGGGGGTGTTTTGCTTGGGCGTGGTGGCCGGGCTGAGCCTGGCCGGAGTGGAACGGTTGGAGCCGGGCTTGCTGCCTGGCGCTGCACAATAAGGCAAAAGGAGAATCTCGGTTTACAAGGCAATCTTGATACAACAACTCTAAGCCTTTGCTGCCAGGAATTCAGGACTTTACTCCAACTCCCTGTTTAGAACAAGGAGAGTTGTGAATGTCTATTTTTCTGGTATGTCAGGGAAAAGTTGAAATAAATTTAGACCTTCTGTACAACCCTCTAGCCTCTTCACCTTGCACAGGATGAAGTGGAGGATTTTGCAGGATTTAGGATAGTAGAGTCAAGCCACTGGGTTATTCTATAAATTTAGGGTTCAAAAGTGGGACTTTTTGTGTCCCGGTTACATCTGACCTGTGTAATTTGACATATCACTGTGATTTGACATATCACTGTAATTGATTTCAAACTATTTTTAGTTGTTTGGCAGGTAATTTGCATTAATTCATCACTCTTGGAAATTAGAGAATTGTTCTGAACTTGCAAAATTGCATGTCAGGTGTGACAGGGACATGAAAAAATTGGACCCCCGATTTATAGAATGACCCCACTGCTACTTAACGTGCGGCTGACCCAACAAAATGTGAAGCATGTACCAATAGTTTTTGGAACAGTGAAGAACTTTTAGGATTCCATAAACTCCAATGTCACTGGGGAGTTGACGTTGATATTTGTGGACTATGACACTTTGTTGAAACCAAGATATTTCTCTGCTGTGAACTTTATAGTCTGTCCTGTTTCACGTGGAGTCATATTTTAATCCCTTGTGTAAGTAAAAAGCTCAGTAAATGCTGAAATACATATTATTTTATTTGAAACAAAAAAGATATCATACATGTGCATAATTGTGCTTGATTAGCCTGCATGTGTGCTGCTCATTCTTGATGATTCTGGGTCAGCCATCTAACCCTCAAAACAGCCGCCGCTTAAAATCTCTAACGACAATCCTGAAATCGACGTGCGTTTAACTCACATAGTGAGGTCTGAGGCGTCTGGCCGTTGGGCACTGACGGACTCAGCACGGTCGGCGATGCAGCTTTGGCCTTCTTCTGCTTGCGTCGCTCCTCTAGACTTGCCAAGTACCTGCAGTGTGGAGCCACCGAGAGAATAACGGTTGGCAGGCCAGTACTCGGCTGGATGTTATGAGCCGCACCTGACTATGGAGATGTGGTTAACTGTTGGGGAGATTGGCTGGCATGAGGGCGGAGGGTTGAGAGATGCAAACTGGGAAGAAATTCAAATGCCCTTTGTATGGGCTTTGAAAAAAAACTTTTGTCTATTAAAACTCGATGCGGTGTCTCATCCATATTCACGTTTTATTGCCACAGAAGAATACAAATCCATACACGGTAAATCACTCACTTCACATGCAAAAAAGCAAAGCATATGAGAAGATGTCACAGAGCCTATGGTTGTCGTAACTTTTGGATCATGGCAGTACTCTCGAGATACCAACGTCAAAACCCAAAGCTCTTTGGAAACCAACGAAGTGTCCACAAAACCATACACTTGGAGCACTAAAACGTTGAAAAGCACCGGAATATTCCTGCCGGGATGATTGGACAAGGAAGGTTGTAACTGAAACAGGGTACTTACAGATCATAGTTCTGGTCTACTGATTCCTTCCTCATGTCCAACTCGTCTAGCGTTGCAACGGTCTCGAGTTTATTTGTCTCCAATTGCCTTAGTAATGTTTCTCTCTGCAGTCAAAAAAAAAAAGCCCCACTAACAATTCCTGCTTAAATGGTTGCACAATATCAGGAAAGGTTTCCATGTATTTTACGCCCAGCGAGTAAATTAAGAAGGCGTTGTGCGTCTCACGGACCAATTCGCAATAATGCCACAATGCGTAGATTAACCCTTGAATTGTAATCACTTTCCATATTTTTGCCTTCTTTTGACAGTGCATTTCCGCGGATGATCAACAGATTAACTCATACTGAAACAAGTCACAGTTAAAGAAACAAATTTGTGCGCTAAGAGAAAATATGACGGTAACCAATCCCCAAGTAAAATACATTACATAGCATGTCGGTGGGTAAGTTGCTTTAACCCTCCTATGGTTTTACA